CCACATTACCAATACCCTGATGCACAGAAATGCTTTATATCCAAGTATGGGTCCAGAGAGGGTATAGTTTTAATATAACTCCATATCGTGCATCTGCACACAAGCGTGTCCTCCTCTCTCACCCGGACCCTATAAAATAACATCAGCCGATTGCAACTTTCCATAACAACAAGTCCATAGCACATATGTATTCAGGTGCCTAGCAAAACGCAGTTGTTTCTATATAAGCATGCTAATATCATAGGTGTATCTCACCCAAGGATGTCCACAATAAAATCCCAGGATTAGGAGACGGTGCAAGGTTGTGTACTGTTGGAATAGCCCTGTTGGCACCTCAGTATATCCAGTAGCTCATAACCTGCCCATCTGGGGTAAATCTTGTAACACCAATGTACGGGGGAATAAGGTAAACAGACCCATCTGGGAGAGAGCTGCCATGCATCACCGCTAACGCGTTTCGTCCAATCTGAACTTCATCAGAACTCGCATGGACAATGCAATCACAAATCTTAACCAGCATTTTAATTCCCTTTAAATTAGCTTGGAAGGAACGGCTAGTTTCTGGTTTTGTCTCCCCATTTCCACATCCTGTATATTATGGAATGCAAATGCATCACAGCCTGTAGGAAGGCGCTCCGTATAATATCACCATTGGCCAAACCGAGTGTGCTAACATGCATTAATTAAATATATCCCCCCCCCCCTAAAGTCAGACCTCTGGGAGACCAATCATCCAGGCAACAGCCATTTTCCCCTCCAGCTTTAGATAAACTCAATAAGTTGCTAGCTCATATGATAAACCTAATTCTCATACTCAACCTCTAAATACATATAATTGGATATTATTTCAATAATTAGTTCCTCTGGATCACAACGAACATATTCATCTATCAAATTCTTAACAGAAACCATGGTGGAAAAAAAAACTTTACTGACAAAAAAAACTGTTCTTATGCGCACTCTCCAGCATATTAAATTTCAAATTGTTTAATGATCCATCATGTTCATAAACAAAATGCCTGGCCACCGTGGAACTAAGGTATGCATGGTTTTAATAACACCTATGTGGTCCGAGATGCGTCTCTTAAACGCTCTGTTTGTCTTGCCCACACAGTACATTCGACACAGGCGAGACAAAAGATATACAATACCCTCCGTTTTACAATTGGCAAATTGTACTGGTAAAAAATGTTTTACCCATGGGGAGTATTCTAAAAATCCCACTTGTAGAAATTAACAAAAATCACACTTTTGGCACAGATAGGTGCCCCACTTTACAACACTTTTTCCTTCACCATGGGTCATGCTTGCTCTGAGTGACCAGATCCCTTAATGATTTAGTTCTTCTAAAAGTCAGCCTAGGGTGTTCAGGAACATATTTGGCAATTGACTCCTCCTCACTAAATAGACTCCAATGTCTCCTCAATATATTTACTATATCCTTTTATTGTGCACAATATGTAGTGATAAGTCTCCAGGGGTTCTAGGTTACTGTCTCTATCCTTGCCCCCTCTCTGATGTTGTATGTTATACTTGGCCCGTTTATAAGCCAGTGTCAATAGTTTATCTTCGTAGGCCTTTGCTGAGACTCGCTTTCAAAATCCTCCATTCTGGTACAGTTCATTTTTATTCTTAAATATTGTCCATAGAGAATGTTCTTCACTATGTGTTGTGGACAACTTGTTGACAACTGAATTTCCTGCAGTCTCCTTTCTATATATTTTGGTGTATATGGAGGGTGGCAGGGCAGACCTCTCTAAACTCTCATCTCAAAAGGGAACAATAGCGATCAGACAAGAATTTTTTAACTTGTCAGTCTTTTTTTGTAACCTTTCCCCCAACCCTCTGCTTGAGAGTGGTGGGCCAGGGCTTGTCTGCTCTTGCTCTTACGTGATGGTTCAGTTTTCAGAATAGATGATCATTTCAAGTTTGTGGGCAGTTTTAACTTTGGTCATCCCGGGTCCCTTAGGAGAGGTGCTAACTCAAACCAACAGGATTTTCTGGGCATACTGGTGATTCATTGTTAGGGCAGGTTGGGCCCATTTTTATTTTCAGTTTCAGGGGAGTGTGAATGTAAGTAATCATTAAAAACTGCACCTATACTGTGCGATTCTTGAAACTTGAAAATCTACATTGTTTGATTTTTGCACACCCAAAGCATATTTAAACTGCTCACCTTGTTACTGGTCTGCAGTTTGTAGTAATTATGTCTAATCTGTTTAGAGGTTTCTCATGCTTCGAACCTGAAAATGCAAAATACTGGCATTCAAGGATGATGTACAGCCTTCAGAGTAATTGAAGGAGTCTGCATTTCCGGAGAATGTCCTTCTGGGTTTTGTTTCCACTTACCGTATAAATGAGTAATCCCATTGACCTTAACGCTGCATCATTGATTACATACTGAAAGCTCTTTAGTTTACAAGAAGTTAGGTTACAAAAGTATCAAATAATTTATGTAAATGAGGATTTCTTTTATTAGACTTGGATTACATATTTTCTATGCATGAGTTAGATAATGAGATTGATCCTAAGGCCAGGTTCACACCTGGGCGATCTGTGACTGTGCAGCAAACGTGCATGAAACGGGGGATTTTTCCGCAGTCACAGAGTCTCACACCACCGCTGATCGCAATGGCGGTGCCATTATTTTCTTATGGCACCCCAGTCGTGCCAGGCAGATTGGGCAGTTTTCGACATGCAATCGTGCATGACCGCGGTTGAAAAAACTGTGCTGTGCGTGTTGCAAAAAAGGTACAGGTACCTTTTTTTCAGCGATTGCTGCGCACATGTAACTCTATTAAAATCAATGGGGCCGCTTGGCAACCGATGCTTGTCCCGGGATCACCCAAGTCTGCACCAGCCCTAAACTTGTTTTGTTAGTGGCTCCCTGGAAATCTTTTTATTTTGCAAAATCTTTTTTGCTTGAGAAATATGTGGAAACAGATGTGTTGGGGTATCAGCAACTTGGATACAGTGTATAATGTGCAGCAAATGGTAAAAGTTATTTAGCTTCTGATTTATTTAAAGTCAAGATCGCACCTTGAAATAAAATGTAAGTTCCAGTCAGAAATAAATAAGATTAGCGAGAATCACAAATTATTTTTATATTGTAATTTATAACCTCTAACGCAGGATGCACTTAAGTGATTGGAATGTAAAATATTTCATGCTCCCAACGTAATGGGTATAGATGTAGAATTTGCTAGAAGTGGATGGGGTTTTTTTTTTTTTTTTTTTTATTGCTCCATTTTTCTCCCAAGACATATACGTAACTGGCAATTTGGAAGATTAGAAGGTACAGTCTGTGTGAAAATTTAAAGCAGGGCTAACTAGTTTGGTCTGTTTAATAATGAAGATGTTTTTTTGTGGGAGAGTTTTGATGATCTGACAGAGATGGATTTCTGCACAATGTTGTAGCTAATGTAACAGATGTATTCCACTGTAAAAACTTGAAAACCTGTAATCTAGAGTTCTCTACATTGTCAGCAGTTCTATAAAACAAAGGAATGTATTGCTGTAATAGTAGTGCAGTATTTTCTCTACTTCACTATTACCTGCTAAGATTTTGCAACTATGGACTAATGACTTGTCATCAACTACTGCATAGGCTTACAAATGGAAGTGATGTTAATTCTGTAACTTGTCACATTGTTATGTTTTTCTTGTCTGTTAACAGTGAATAATAGTACTCATCAGTGTGTTTAAAAGTGCACCTAGCACTAACTGCTTAGAAACCTTTACATTAGAAAGCTGGCATGTTGTGAAATTTGAAAACTAGTTTCTTCCCAATTCTTGTAGATCTAGAGATGAATGATGGCTTATTTTAAAATGCTTTTAATGCTCGTTCAGAATTGGTAAATATGTTAATACTTCAAGGTGCATGATCTGGGCACAGGTTCCCATGTACTCATGAAATCCCCCTGCATAGGATGGGACTTTATCTTATCTTAGCAATCATCCTATTTATAGATCTACTGGTGCCTCCAGAAGGTCCGGTGGACTTTCTAAAAGTCAACTACCTCTTCTTACCACCTCGGCATGACCGTGTTTGTACCATACTCCATTTAGTTTGTCTAAAGCATCTGTTGATGCTCTGAAGAAATAGGTTTGGTCTAGCAAATTATGGTGTCAAGGGTATATACATTAAATACTCTTTTCAATGTCGCAGTTTTGCATTAATATTTTCCGTGAAAAGCAGTGCATGTAATTTTACTGGGGGTACCCAGATTTGTATATATGACTGTGTAAATGAATTGGAACATGTTTATTTTATGTTTGCTCTTTAGTTGTCCTTTAACCAAAAATAAACATATATCTTAAGTCCACACTTTTTTTGTGTCCAATTTAAGGCCCCTTTCACATGGGTGCTCTAATCGGGTTGGCCTGTTAGTTCTTCAGATCGACCAAATCGGATGCCGAATGCAAGTCTATAGGCAGCCATGTGTAAAAGGACAAGCATCCGTTTACACCCTGTTACCTCTAGGTCCGGCAAAACAGACAGAACAGTGTTTAGTTTCGATGGTACGGATCATGCCAGATCGGGGGTAATCTGATGTAAACAAACACATGTCTGTTTACATCAGATTCCCCATAAACACACATGGGGTCTGGCAGTTTTCAGTTTTTTTCCTTCATTGCAAGATGGAGGAAAAAACTGTACAGACACGGATGCCAAAGCAGTATATCCGATCCGTACAGCTGTGATCGTGAGAAGATCTGTGCACGGATCCTCTCCTGATCAGCCTGTGTGAAAGGGCCTTAGGGATTTCCTTTCACCTATCCTGCAGGCATAAGAGGAAATCTCTCCAAAGTGAGGTAAATCTCTTCTTGGACAGTTGTCACTGGCACTGATGCCGTCATTAGAAGATTTCCCAACCATCCCGGTTTTGGTGGAACTCAAAATTTTTGATTTCCTTTTGATTATGTGTTTCTACCTCCCTTTGATTTTTCTCCTTTTGCTAGGCATTTTCTTTAATTTGTTTTGTCTACTTTGCTTTCAGAATTCGACCGCAACTTGCCAAAGAGAAAATTGAAGGTTGTCATATATGTACATCAGTAATACCTGGCGAACCCCAAGTTTTCCTAGGAAAGGATAAGGCATTCACCTTTGACTATGTCTTCGATATTGATTCCAGACAGGATGACATTTATTTTCAGTGTACAGAGAAACTTATTGAAGGATGTTTTGAGGGCTACAATGCAACCGTGTTTGCCTATGGCCAGGTAAGAGTATGCTTAAAAAACAATAAAAAATAGCAGCAAACAATACAGATAGATATTTAAATATCAGGCATATGTGACTAACATTTTTTTAGTGTTTTAGGTTATGGAATAATAAAAGATACATATACATTTTACAGTTGGTCAGACAATATTGATTTCTACTGCCTCTCAGTCTGATACAGCTGCAAGAATTGAAATCATTTTTGGTACTGGCGTATGAACTCTTATCTGTAAATGTGTTTTTTGTTTTAATCCATACATTGTCCCTCTGCTCACAGCTCTATAGACATTGAGTGCTCCTCATTGATTTAGTGACTGGTACTGGTTTGCTCTTATTTAGTCTTGCAAGGAACATGGACAGAGGAAGAATGCTCCTGCTGTGGTATATGAGAGAGTATGTTAAAGGAGAACTATTGGGAGAGTAAAGTGTACTCTTCCCAATAGTTTGAGCTGGCGTGTGACACTGCAGTTGTCACATGCCAGCTCTATAGCTCGAGAACTGAACAAACTGAGCGATCACAAACCGCTGATTGCTCAGCTTACATCTTCTCCCTGCTGAAAGCAATAAATGTCAGTCAGCCCTCCCCATCAGGATTTCCCCAACCCCCCCCTCCTTTTTTTTTCTCCAGTGCTCATTGAAAGAAGGGGAGGGCACTCTAGAGAAGTAGAGCCAGCTATAAATCAAGCAGCGAGTTGCATCCTGACAATATTGTCAGGATCCTTCTTAGGTGCGGTGCGGCTCTGTGCGGTCAGTATATAGTGGGCTATATGTCCACTATATGCTGACTTTGGGCCACAGCAGTACATTAGTACTGACCCTAAAGAGAACTTTAGACAAAAAAAGCTTTATATATCACAACAATATTATTATATTTATGTATTTTCTAACAGTTTAATGCATTCCTCCCTGTAATTTTTGTTACTCTTAAAAGAAATGCATAGATAAGTAGAAGTTGTGATATGAGGAGATATGCATGTACACTAGTTTTGTCAGTTGGATATTTCTGTAGTTCGGGATACAGTCCTAAACACCTGCACAGATTGCCGGTCCATTTTCAGGCTCTGCTTTATCCAGCTGATACAATAAATCACCACACATTTTTTCAAATTCATCATCTCTCTTCACTATGTACGGCTCTCCCAATAAATAACATTTTATACATTTTGCAGAGCTTTTTAGAAGGCAAGTTTAAACCAAAGCTAGATTTATTTCGATTCGTTACGTCTGCAGGGTATTTTGTTCCTGCACATGCATTCCTGACTGAACCTCGCTTCCAAAATTCTTTCTTGTTTCCACAAGTCAGATGGAAAGTTTTGTTTTGTTCCTACAGATAAATGGTTAACCTACTGTTGGTTTTGCAGTCAAAGTAAAACTTATAAAGTGGTATGGGGGGTGTCTTGGTGTGTAACGACCCCACCAAAGTCTGATTGCAGTTTCGAATGATTGTTGCTTTTCATATGCCATGATGTAGAGTAGTCTGTTAATATTTTATGCTGTATCCTCCAATCCAGACAGGATCTGGAAAAACCTATACAATGGGCACAGGGTTTGACGTGAACATAACGGAGGAAGAACAAGGAATTATTTCTCGGGCTGTCAAACATCTCTTTAGGAGAATCGAAGATAAACAACAAGCTGCACTGGAGCAAGGTCTCCCTCCTCCTGATTTTAAAGTTAATGCTCAGTTCTTGGAGGTTTGTATTAATTATTTTACATAATAAGTGCATTGGCCCTTATTTTCTACTTTCAAAGTTTTTTTATTGTTTTACATTTTTTTCTTTCCTTGAATAGGAATAGGTTGTTACACCAAATAACATGTATAACACAAGCATAAAGGCATATACACGACAGAATCAGATCTGCATCACCCCCCACAACGTAGTTGTGCAAGAACAATGAGGCCCTAAAGTTAGTGCAGGAATATATCAAAATAATAATCTACCTTGTTCCTGAGGGATACTAAAAGGGTTTCTAGCAGTAGATATATGCAAAAGAAAAAACGCTTTAAAAGCGGTTTAAATTTACTGCTGTCTTCGCCGCGTGCCCCCGTCCGAAAATCCGAAACTGCTTGGGCAGCCGCAAAGCATCTTAGGGCGGGCGCATACGCAGATCGGATTTTCGGCCAGGAGACAAGGAGAGACACAAGGTAAGTCTATGGACGCATGCAGACATCGTGGGACAGGAAGTGCCAGCAAGGACAGAGGCATCAGCGCTGGATCGGAGACCCGCAGCAGCGCTGGAGGGACAGATGAAAAGGACAGGAACGAAGAAGAAGATCGGATTAAGAGACATCATTTAAGGTAAGTGTTTTACTTAACATTGGGGGGAGGGAAAACATTTTTTTTACTTTAATGTCACTTTAAATATTCGTTATGTCCCTCCAAAAAAGGGTACAGTATTGATTCAACATAGCAACATACTTCGATTCTGTTTAGCTAGCGAGGTCACACATGTCATTATAAAGAAAAGAAAAAAAATAAGAAAACACTTAAAAAGAGAAAGGAAAGTAGAGGAGAAAAAAAAAAAAGAGGAGAG